GTGTCCAGGGTGAAAGACCCGAAAGCCGCGCGGATAGGTGTCGAGCCTTCCGGTTAATATTGGTAAATGACAGTTTGGTAGTACTTGTAGAGACTACTTGCAGACACTAGCCTAGGGATTACCAGTGTCGTATTTACCGCCCCTGTTGAATTAAATATTGGAAGTTTGAAATTGATGAGATTGCATAATATTATTGAGAACATGGTGATTTTAAAATGGTGCATTGAATATTATTGAGAACATGGTGATTTTGAAATTGTAACGCCCTAAAAAATAAACCCATTATATAAAAATATATCATTGACATGCATTATTTAAAGAAAACAATTTATCAATTCATTCATCAGAGTATTACTAAATAGAAGCTTTACATGTAACATCGAATAAAATGCCCTACAGGCTTACATCCTTCCAAGCCAACACTTGGATACAAATTACGAGTTCTAACTCAATACAAGAAAAGCCCTGGGCTTGAATGTTTACATGTACTAATTAATAAAGACAATTAACTAAAGATAGTCTTCTTCAAAATCCAGAAACCGAACCCTCCCAAGCTAAGTCCTTGTAAAATTTTCCTTCAATATTGGCACTTGCATGGCATTACATATGCATTTTTTTTTAACGTTGATGGAACTGGCATAACTGTATATACTTTGTGAGGAATCTCTACTAGGCTTTATGCTTACCCCTATGGGAATTGGTACAGGTAAAGATGTGGTGACCCCGCCAAGCTAAGGGCGTGGAGATGTTTTGAAGAAGAGTAGTTTAACTCTTATCTTGTTGTGATATCTTTTGTAAGCCAAGGGCTAACGTGTTTGGGTCCGAAAGACCATTATGTGTAACCGGGCTATTGCCTTGGAACTTGTAAGCCCTTGAGGGCCTTATTTGTTGTGATTATAGATCCTTGTATTAGTTTGTAAATAAATGTATAATGACATCTGAGAATGTTTTGGTAAACATTTAGAACTATGTAAATGGTTCTGGTTAATATCTCATTTTGGAAGTGGGTTGATGTAATAGTTTTTGTGGGATTATTTTCGGGGCGTGACAGTTCAAGTAATAAGAATTCGAGTCTAACCATCCCTTCCCCTTTGGTTAGATTATATATTTGTGTTGGAAATATTATAACATTCTCAAAAGAACAAAATATATATATATATATATATATATATATATATAATCTTTATTATTTTGAGTTCAATATACTAAACCAAAATAAAAAGAAAAACATCTCTTAACATTTGATGAAAATACAAAAAAAAAAATCCCCTAACATTTTCAATACCATAAGTTATATCACAAATACCTTGACATTTAGCCCTTGTTTGGGATGTTTGCTATTTTAGTTAATTTTTTAGCTTTCTAACTATTTTATGAGATGAAAAAAATAAAAATAAAAATTGTTTGGGATAATTTGTGATTTTTTGTAGTTGAATAGATGATTGTGGGAGAAAAAGTGATTGGTCGATAGGTAATTCTATTTCCACATCACTAATCTTCTCAATACATACCATTACTTATTACACACATAATAATTTTTAAGGTTTGAAAATATCTTAGTTTATGCCTTAATTTTTTTTTATTACTATCCCTAAGATAACACACCACTTATTTGTTTGAATACACGCCACAATCCACACCCAAATATCTCCATCTTCAAAACGTCATAGACCTCCATCTTTTATAACACTATAGACACTACAAAAAAAAGTGTTTTTTGCGACGGCATAACGCCGTCGCAAATGCCCCATACGCCGTCGCTAATACTTTTTGCGACGGTAATTTGGTTTTTTGCCACAGCTAGTGGGGGTCGCGACAAAGGGGGTTGCAAAAGGGCTTTAGCGACGGTAAGTGCCGTCGCCATTGTTTTTTACGACGGCAATTTTCTGTCGCCAATAAGTGAAGAAAATCTGAGTTTTTGCGACGGTACAGTATTTCCGTCACTAAAATGGGTTTTTTGAGACATCAAGAATACCGTTGCTAAAAGAGTCGTAGCTGATAACTATTGGCGATGGCAATCTGAGCCGTCGCTAAAGGTTTATTTTTCAATTACATTCCATAGCTTTTGCGACAGTATGGGTGCCGTCGCAAAAGCCTCGTACAATTTTTTTTGCAACGGGTGGTATGCCGTCTAAAAAAAAAAAAAAAAAAAAACCTGTTGGGAAATTATTAAAAAAATTAAAATAACTTGTATTAAATGAAAAATAACTATAAAAAAATTCAAAAATTACATAATAATATAAATACATACATAAACAAAAGTTGAAGCCCTTGTTAATTTACACATACTAGGAAATTAAAAAACAAAAAATATCGACCTATTTCATCATAATACAAAAAGTAAGAATAATAATAATAAATAAATAAAAACATTAGGTGGTGTACATGATTTCTCCAATCATGCAAGCTGATTCTGATAAATATTGAAGCGCAATTGGGAATCACTAATAGAGATTGTCGTATGATTCTCTATCATCACGAGCTTTCACTAGTGAATGCCTAGATTATTAGGATATTTTATGGGATATTCCTATTTTGCTTCATTGCTGAAGCGATTAAAGATGAAGAGTCTCTCTCATCGCCGCCGCCTAGAGATTAAAAAAAGAGGTGGGTGCCCCTCTCTCTCTCCCACTCATGAATAGTATCCGTTACAAGAAGCCATTAGTTATGTAAAGCATAACAACAATATTAGGTAGATCAAAATTTTGTGATTTAAATAGTTCAAATCATTTAAAATGATGTCTTTTTGAGTGTAAATGAGTGTAAAACGACGTCATTTTGATAAATTTAAGCCATTTGAGCCATAAAATTTTGAGCTACTAAATGTTTTCCAAAGCCTAAATGATAAGAAAAATTATTGTTTGTTCATGGGTAAACTGATGTGGTACTTTAATTTGATTATTATTGGTTAAATCAGTAAGACTCGCTATTTTTCTGTCTCTTTTTAAGAGATTGGTAATGAAACACTTATCCCTTAATGAATGATATTGAGTAATATTCTAAAATCAACCAATAACTTCGCAAATAATTAGGGAACAAATTTAAAATAGTGAGACATAGAGCTATCCTAATTTATATTTTATTCTGTGCTTTGAAGTTGTGTAATTAGACTTTTCCAAAGCATAACGTCGGCAACAACATTTGAATTTGTGATTAGACTTTTTCAAAGCATAACGTCGGCAACAAAATCTTAGTCAATTAGGGACGACGACACAAGGCAAGTGATATGTCCCTTCCACCCATCAGCATGTCAAAAACCTTTGAATTTTTTGCAAGAAATAAAAAATGGGGTTTTTTTTTTAAGGTCCTTGATATTATGATTTTATAGTATAAAGGACATCAAATATTTTTATGAAATCTAAGGTCCATCAACAATATTTTCATAATGTCTAAGGTCCCTCAACCTTGATCCAGAGAAATTTCAATTCAGAGAAAATTGGTCCAGAGAAATTTCAGTCCAAATTTCTCTGGAAAATCTAATTATTCTCAGAAAATCTAAATTTCTCTGCATCCATAAACACCCTTACACTGGTCTTCTAACAAAATTATCCATCCAGAGAAATTTTAAATTTCTCTGGTCTCCTTAGCCTTTGATAGACTCTCCAGAGAAATTTCAAATTTCTCTGGCCTTCCATATATGTTCCACTCTCCAGAGAAATTTCTCTACATTTCCACAACATTACCTCTCCAGAGAAATTTCAAAATCAACCCATGGAAATTTTAGTTTAAACCCAGAATTTCTGTAATAAAACAAAATGGACAAAACAAGAAATACACAAAATGGACAAAACCAGAAACAAAATGGTTAACATGATCATCTAAATACTATAGATGATTTTAATTGAGAAATAGATTGATTGATAGTTTCACATCACAATATGACAATTCCTTTCATTGGGGAAAAATTTTGATAAACTGACAAAACATTTTAACCAGATAATTCCACCCTTGTGCCAAAAAAAAAAACAACCAAAAATTGTGAAAGAAGGAAAAGAATTGAAGAGGAAAGAGAACTCACTCTTGCTCTACCCTCAGAACCAGAGCCAGAAATTTCAACTTCAACGGAGAAGCCTCAAAAAAAACCAAGAAACACACACACAACTTCCATGGCAGCAAGCAGCAATAGCTATGGACCTTGGTCTCTGTTGACGGAGAGCTCGAGCGGCCAAAGCAGAGTCCAGACCGTTGCCTCATTGTCGGAGATCGCGAACCAGAGGCGGACGTCGACGCTGAAGCGGGCGGAGTGTCCACTCCTCCGAAGAAGGCGAACTCTTGGTCGATGTTGAGGATCGTTGCCGGTTTCACACTGTGGAGCACGATCGTCTCATTGTCTTCAAGCTTAATTCTATCACCTGTGTCTAATTTGTTGGGTATGGGGGTGAGGGACCTTAGACTACAAAAGAATATATTGTGGACCTAATCCATTACTAAAAAGTGGATAGGGACCTTAGACCGATTTTCCCTATATAAAACTATATATTTATGTTTAAAACAATTAAATGAATAGTTATATATATTTATGGATGAAAAATTATCTAAGATAGAGTCACCCTAAATTGTAGATCATATTTTAGTCTTAATAAATTTAAATTTTATCATAACTTATCAATTCGTGACTGGTATGAGCTAATTTGAGGGGTTTTAATACTGGATTAAACACTAAAAACTAGCCAAGAAAATTTAATTCCAATCGATTTTTTTTTGCCAATAATTCTTTATTTAAGCCTAGTCTTTGGAGAATCGTCTAGTTCATGTTCAATTCATGAGTTAGTAGACCCACCTATTTATTTAATTTTTAATTAGTAAATGTATTTTTTAAAAAATTTATAACAAAAATGGAAATATGTACATATTTGTTTTATATATTTATTAACAATTTTAAAATTAATTAAGAAATTATGTTGTTATTCTTAAAAGATCCAACGAGTGTTGTGTCGATCTTCTTAGAAGTGTCTATGCTTCTTAAATGGGAACCGATCTCCTATATTCTCACTTCTACATTATCAGGCCGAAAATTATAAAAAGTTAAGCAACCTGATTTGACGAGGCCGCCACTCCTCTTCCGTAGTGCCATGTCCAAGCTGTCCCGAGCTGTTAGACCCAAATGAGTAAACAACTCCATTAGAAGTCACAGCGATACTGTGACCTGGCCCTGCTATTGCTTGCGATTTTTCTCGCCTTGAACACACTTCTCCAGCCAGCAAGAATCTCAGGACCAGTTTCCATGAGCCCCCACATCTTTCCTTCAAATATTGACGTTCATCAGCTGTCATTGGCTTAAATATAGCTCTCTTCTGACACATGTCGAGAGCAGCAAGCTCTGATAAGGACAGCTCATGATCAGGGGCAAACTGGGCAGGCTGCCTAAAGAAGGAACATGTCGCCTGCAACACACAATCACAATTCAATCAGCAGCATCATCAATTCTAACATCGACAAAATAGTCCGCTATTAGAACAGAAAGAAAAGGAGCACTTGCCTCTAGGCTCGCAAGATCATGAGGATCCAAATTACACGTGGTGAGGACATGAAGAACAATAGAGGGACTCGCAGACAATGGGAACTCCCCGGGACTTGCAACGCCAAAGCAATGTCGTTGTTGTCGTAGAAATGCCGGTACACCAGAGGTGACAAGAGCAGCAATTGACTGCTCGGGGATATTACAGTATTGAATAGGTGGGGTTCCACGCGTTGTGGCATCCATGGGCACTGCTTAAGCGTGCAGTGCCCACACTGGGCAGAGAAGATCTAAATGATGGAAATGAAGTGAAAAAATCACTACATTGAGTTGATTGGACACTACAGAATGTAAATTTGAGCTTCAAACTTTATAACTAATTGAACATACAAGTGATAATTTTATGAAAAAGTATCTACCTTAAATAATGTACTGGTCAGCAAATTTCAGGTATCACACCTATATACAAAACACACTATCATAAACACACATTTTTATGGGACCTGAAGTGGAAAAAAGCACAATGGGAACGAAGTAACTGCATAAATTTTCTTCATTTGGTATATAGAATTGATCAAAAGCTAAATTGACAGGCACCGTAAAATCATTGCTACAAACTAATAAAACAAGTATGAAAGATCCAAAAATAAACGTAAAAAAGGTGACTGAGTGCACGAGGCTCCTGCTAAAGTGGGACCCCAAATTGGAAAGTACAATGTGATGCAAGTAAGCAGACAAATTTTCCTCATTTGGTATATATAATCATTAGATGAAGTAGAAGATGAAAAGACAACTAAACCACATGCACTAAACTGATCGAAAGCTAAATTGAATGATTGCTACAAACTAATAAAATAGGTATGCAGGATCAAAAAATAAACATACAAAAGAGCGACACGAAGCTGCGGCTAAAGCGTGATCCTGAAGTGGAAAGCACAATGTGAACCAAGTAATAGGAAAAAAATTCTTCATTTGGGATATAGAATTGTTAGATGAAGTGTAGAAGATGAATAGATAACTAAACCACATGCACTAAACTGATCGAAAGCTAAATTGAATGATTGCTACAAACTAATAAAATAGGTAAGGAGGATCCAAAAATAACCATAAAAAACACAAAACTCCCCACTAAAGCAATCTCTCCCCCTTCCTAGAGGGACTATTTCTGTGACTCAAATTGCGTCACCAGGGACACTAAAGGGAAGCTTACTGTTGGGCCAAGCCGCCCTTTGTCCAAAAATAAACATATAACTGGAAAGAAGATAACATTCTGTGAGTCCATGATACGAAAATATGATCAATAAAGCACAAGAAACTTGAAAATATGATCAAACAAGTAAATCGAACTGAGAACCAATTGATGCACCAAAAAAGAAGAAATCTGTCACATGAAGAATACTAATCCTTCAACAAAGGATATTTCACAACCAAAAGGAAATGAGATTGAAGTTAAAATGAAACCCAATAATTCTACAACAATGAAACAATTAGATACATAACAATGAAACCCAATAATTCAGATTCAATAAATCAAAACAAACCAATTAGATACAAACCCAGAAAAGAGATTGAAGTTAAAAAAAATTCTTCACAGGAATCAACCACATAAAATCTGATCTTTTAACGTGAAAAAGATCAAAGGATGATCAAACCATATCAGCTAATTCTACAACTCATCACGCAACCCAAGAGACAATAGATTTAAGTAAAAGTGAAAATTTATCATAAAAAAACATAACATAATCACAAATGAGTAATTGTTGAATCTGCACATTACATGTCATAGAACCCCAAGATTCCTCAAAACCCATGTGAAATCCATCAATTATTCCCGATGGATTCACTAAAAACAGCAAAATTTCAGATCAAATTGAAAAGTATGGAAAGGGTTATCTGATCAAAACATATTCAAGGCTCTCTGAGGTGATTGATATACATTCATCTATATATATATATATATACACACACAGAGAGAGAGAGAGAGAGAGACTCGTCGCCGGACCACCACTACCTGTCATCGTCGCCGCTGCCGCACCACCGCACCACCGCTAGCCTGCTGGCCGTTCGTCGCTCGTCCAGAGAGAGTCGTTCACCTTCGTAGCTCGTTTGAGGATTTTGGAGGAAAAAAATTTGTTTCAAACATTTAGGGATTTGGATTATGTTTTGATCGAGCGGCAAGATGAATAGGGGAGAGCGGGGCAAAATATTTTTTCACTTTTTGCGACGGTAGGTTTTACACCGTCGCAAATGGCAAGTATTTTGTTCATAAAACGACGCCGTTTAAATTAGACTTTTTTGCGACGGACATTTGCCGTCGTAATATGTAAACTATTTGCGACAGCAAACGTATGCCGTCTCAAAACATTTTTTTTGGCGACGGTAAAAACATCCGTCGCTAATACTGATGCATTTACTCCCCTATCCGCGCATTTTTTATTACCGACGGGGACAACGCTGTCACTAAAGCCTTCACTTGCGACGGTTTAAGCTGCCGTCGCAAAAAACCATTTTTTGCGACGGGACAAACGCCGTCGCTAATGCTTCCGTGTTTTTTACCCCCTTTTCTTGTAGTGAGATCTCCATCGCCGGCGGAGGGTTTCGTTCGGCCAATGCATTCTCGTCCTTTCAGATTTCTGTCGTCGTTTCGCCATTGGCTTGTCGATGCATTGTCGTCGTTTTAGATCTCCATCTTTGCCGTCGTCTCGTCGTTGTTTTGCCGATACATTGTCGGCATTGAAAATTTGTCATTCTCACCCTTGATTCACACGTTGATATATTTTTCCTATTTTTAATTTTTTTTTATTTGGTTACTAATTCAACTTTCATAGGAATTTCTATTTTGAGTTTAGCTCAATTTTGATTGTCTGAACATAATATCATCATACGAAAAAATAAAATTGAACAAATTAAATTTGTTCAAAATATTTATATTGAAAAAAACAAATACGTTTTCAACTCGTTTTGACTTATTATGTTGAACATTTTTTATATATTTATTTTTATTCTATTGAACATATATTAAATTTTATATATTATTTATTTATTTATTTATTTTTTGTAACTGTTGAATACATCTACTTTTTGTTAAAAAAATAAAATATATCAAAAATAAATTAAATTATTAAATTGAATTAAATTTGAAAAATGAAATTATTAAGGAATTAAAATATTTAATTTTTTATCTATGAACATTTGTAATTTGGTCAACCTTAATAATTTGAATAAAATTGTTTTGTTCGAATTAAAATAATCGAACATTATATAAAAGTTTAATTCTAGTTATCCGAACATGTGACGAACAAAATTATCTTTCTAATGACTATATGAATGATATAAACAAAAAATGAAAAGGCAAAGTAATAAATTGATCTTTTCACTATTGTATTATTCAAAATCAACAATCTTAATATTATTCATAAGGTGTAAATCTTTAAAATCAATTTATTTAAATATTCTTAAACCCTAAAATCAATTGATCTCAATTGATTTCTGTAATTACTTTTTCTGACTTCCAAAGTTATTTCCCCATCTCTAAATGTGAACGAGGGGCCCTCACATGCATTGTTATCTTCTGTGGAATCCAACTTAACTTTTGTCCTTCACTATTTCTATCTTCTCGGTGGGCAAAAAAATCACCCACGTGGTGTGGATGCACATTTTGGCGAGCAAGGATCCTCTAGAGTGATTTTTTCTTAAAGTTTTCTAAAGTGTTCCATTGTGTGGTTGAGATTTATTGGCAAGTCACATCAATTTTTCTGATGTGACTTGCCAGTGAATCTCAACCACATAATGGAGCACTCTAGGAAACTTTAGGAAAATTTCACTCTAGAGGATCCTTGGTGCATTTTGGCGCCCCCCCAAAAAAAAAAAAAAAAATCACCTTTTTTTTCAAACTTTTTTTTCTTTAGTTTTTTTTAAAAATTATATCAAAATTTTTTATTTTTCCGATCCATCTTATCTAAATGAATCTAAAAAATATATATTTTTGATTTTTTTAAAAAAAATCACTAAAGACAAAAATAAGTAAAAAAGATTACTTATTTTAAATTATTTTTGTTTTTTCTGAATTTTTTTTTAAAAATTATAATTTTCGGTTCGTCTTATCAACCTAGAATCTTAATTTTTTTTTCTTAAAAAGTTCACTAACGACGAAAATAAGCCGAAAAAAACTCTTCCCTTATTTTTCCGATCCATCTTATCTAAATGAATCTAAAAAATATATTTTTTTGAATTTTTTTAAAAAAATCACTAAAGACGAAAATAAGTAAAAAAGATTACTTATTTTAAATTATTTTTGTTTTTTCTGAATTTTTTTTTAAAAATTATAATTTTCGGTTCGTCTTATGAATCTAGAATCTTAATTTTTTTTCTTAAAAAGTTCACTAACGACGAAAATAAGCCGAAAAAAACTCTTCCCAAAACAAATCTTACACTAAATTAATTTTAGTTGTTATGTTCACCTTATTTGATTTGTATATAGGGATACAATATTTTAAAAAAAAATTCAAAATTTGTTTGGTTAAAAAGTTCAAAATCATTTTTCTCTCTACTATATACCAATTAATTATTTTTTGCTCTTTTCCTTATCTTTCTTTCACATCCTACACATCAATCAATCACTTTTTCTTTCTCACTCATCTATACAAAAAAATTAGTCAATAAATCTTCGTTAAATTAGTCAATAAATCTAGATTTTGGCTAAATTAGTCAATAAATCTTCAAAACTAATTTATTTAAGATGTTTATACGTCTATAGGTGATGATGGTGTGCGAAAAGTGTTTTCTGTTTTTATATATTAAATCTCTGAATGGATAAAATATACCCCCCATATTTTCTTTAATGGTATTCTCATTTGAAAATATTATTAAAATATAAATTTAATTTGTTAATGGTGTACAATGAGAGGATTAGTGGTATGTAAAAGAAATTTCCTTGATCTATTTGTAGGATGTGACATTTTGTATTATTATCTATTTTAATCTTTTTTTTTTATTTTTTTATTGACAAATTTAACCAAAATCCTACCTCCCGAATAAAGTTAAATCGTAAACATCCCTATCCTTTTTTTTTTTTTTTTGAACGAAGTAAACATCCCTACCATTTAGCAAAATCAAGGGCGGATTCAATATTCGTCGATGGGGTGGACTAATATTAAGATAAAATTATACAATATATTTTAAGTATAACGACATAAGAAAAAAGAGAATTTAACAATATAATCTAAATTAATATCTAAATTTATTGATTAGAAACAATCTAATTAAGTTGTACTCGACGAGTCTCTAAATATTCGAATTCATCGATTACAAAATCTAAATCAATTTTCAATGTAAGGTCTCATTCAAGGAAGAGAGACAAGCAATTGGCAAGAAACTCATCCCCTGTTGAATTGCGAATGACAGTTTTAACATATTTCAAAGTTAAAAAACTAAGAGCAATATAGAACATTGAACAAGGCAGCATCATAAAAAAACTAAGAGTAATAAAACATTTGTTGCATAAAGACAAAATTTTAAAACCATTAATCAATTCCATTTTTAACCAACGAAATAAAATAATTGGTTAATTACATTTACAAAAAATGTTAGGAAAGTAGAGTTGTTGCAGACTACTAGAGACGACAGAGAAGACAAAGAGAGGGTTGCTTCCTATCTATTGAAAGATATGAGGATTGTTTTGGAAGATTTGTTCTTTAAACAAATACAAACCTATTGGCCTGCCTATCTATTTTTTTGGGTAAGTATTGGGCAGTTATTGGGCTGCCTATTTAAAAAACAAACAAAAAAATTATTAGCCTTTATTTGGGGCTGGGCTAGGAGAGGTTGGAAGGCTAGATTGGGTGGAAAAAAAAATTTCTATAGATTTTTTAAATTTTGGACTAGGCTGCAACCACCTATGCCCAGTCCTAAGTCTGCCCTTGAGCAAAATTACACACTCATTAACGCTTTACAAAAAGATTTTAGACACTTCCTTAACTTAAATAAATATACGTAATAATATTAGTTAAATTATTTATGCGTATATGTGATTTTATTAATTAAATTATTTGTGTATATTTATATATATATAATTATGTTTAAAATATATTATCACGTTTACAATGTAAACAAATAATTTTGCTCTATCCTATGCAACTTAAAATAATCAACAATGATTCATTCTCCCTTTTCCCCCATCCCTTTGACCCCCTCTCTCTCTCATTGGTTACATTTTCTTTTTTTTTTTCTTTTTTTTCCTGCTCCTCCAATCACTACCCGCCACGTGGCAAAGGGGGGTGAGGGGGTGACCCCCAAAAGGGGGTCCCAAGCATTATTCTATATAAATAGGGAAATTTAGCTATAAACCCCCTTTACTTTACTTTACTTTTTTTTCATAGTTAAAAGGACTAAGAAAAAAATTATACTTTCTAAACTCCCTTATAATTATAAAGTCTTGCATAAAGGACAAAATTTATTATTTAAATATTTTATATGACTATTATACCCTCAGCTTCTGCATATATAATCAGCTTCGTCATCAACTGTATCATAATCACCATAGTCGTGTCTTCGAAGCTTCAGCAGAAGGTCGGCGACACCAAAGTCGCGTCTTCCAAGCTTCAGCAGATCAAATTCATTGAAACAATAACACTAGCAGATCATCAGAATCAATCAGACAAAGAATATAGCAGTTTCGATTACTAGAAATTGTTCGACATTGAAGGACCCAATCCTCATCTTCCAAGCAATTGTGAGGCAACAGATCACAAGGAGTATCGCGTTTTCTTCTTCATTTGACGAGATAACTTCCTGGATCTCTTTTGGCTTCGCTACTTGATACAAATGAAATTCATAAAAAACGTAAGAGACGTGATCCATAAGTTTTCGTTGTAATG